AACTAGCCGATACAGACTGTGGGAACTCCTGGTCAGTGGAGGTCTGCTCCTACCCCCAGTGATGGTCATTTTGACATTTTCCCAATGTTGCTTGAGGATGCCATTGAGTAAAGAAGATATGAACTTAGCTACACCAATTGATGGTGCACAATTTGGATGCTCCTAACTGGAGGACAGCCCGAACATCGACTACTAGGTGGTTGGTCGAACTGCAAGATAGATGGATCAAAGAACTCGGGGTGGTTAAACCAGTGAGGTCACTCTGGTGCTTAAGTCAGTACTGTATGTAAGTAGCGAGCTGAAATTAAGTAAACTTGAGAGCTAGAATGCACTGTATTGCGTGTACTTGGGTCTTTAGGGGTTAATGCCCTTATATAGTTGGGCTGCCGTGGGTCTCATGAAACACTTTTGAGATCTTCATCCCGGGCCATGGGAGTTCGTTCCGCTCCGAAAGATGGACAACGTGCTAGCTGATAAAGCCTATCGTGTCCATCCGATTTAGGTGGGGTGAGGATAAGGCCTACGGTTGTGCAGTGTGATCCCAAAAGGTTCGGAGGCAGTTGGGAAGTTTCTAGAGATCTGGTACATGTCAATTCAGAAGGCTTGGCCATCCAAAATGCCTGGACTTCGATGCTATCCAAGGTGACCGAAATACCCGAGGTAACCCAACCTGCTGAATTAGCTGAGAGTGCTGAGGCATACATCCAATCACCAGGCTATGTCCACGTATCAACTGCTTAATAGATCGGGCCAAATCACTCCTCATCAACTTATAATGCCATGCACAAGTTTTGTCTTTTCCAATTGAGATGGAGTTTCCCATAATTTTATTACTTTGATTCTTTGTCTATCATGATTAACATCATATTTTATATAGATTCTTTTAATTGATTAATCCTTTAACTATTATTGTTTCTCATATATGATCCTTTAATTACTGATTTTTTAATGTAGATCCATCATTTCTCAATGATGATTCATTATATCTTTTTAATAAATTGAAATTAATCTTTATTTTCCATTTTTGAGGGACAAAACTTTCTGTTTCATCACATTTATGGCCATGGGGCAGGAGGGTATGTCATTAAGCTCAATATTCCATCAATAAGTTCAATAAACTACTCTAGCTGTTTTCTTCCAAATATAACATTTTTTTTAATAGTATAAACCATTGAGCATGCTCTTTGAATATATATATTTTTTTCCATTCATGCTTAAATTGGTTTTTATCTATCTCCATTTTTACCTACATTCTCTTGCTGGCTAGAGTTTATGTGCTACTTAGAAATGGGTATTCAACTTTTGTATCCGTTACATATGTTGCTATGGAGAATACTTTTACTTTTTCTACATATGTCCAATTTGGATTTAGGTTTTCCCATGCATCGCATGGTACCCTATCGACGAGTGGAGCTCAAGTATATATATTTTGAGGCTCAATTATTTATTTTCCATTTTTCCCTTCCCATTTCCCATCTTTTGAGGTTTTTTTTTGGATTTTTTATATGTTTTGTCTTTTATATTTTTATGTATGATTTTTTTTTTTGTTTGAATTAGGTGTATAACTGTATCTTGAACAGCAATATTTTTAATGTACAGAATTTGTAATGGGCGGGCCCGTAAACAGATCTACCTAGCTATAAGACACATTAGTAAATACTAATGTACTACAAGTCTAATCTGCTGCATTTTTTACGCTGAACTTATGATGTACTTGCATATAACAATAACACACCTGTCACAAATTGAATGCAAATGCACTACAGTTTAGCATTAACAAAGTGCAGCAGATTCACATTTTAGCAGGATTTATGCTACCCACCAGGCAGTGTTTCATGTTGTCACATGAAAATCATATTGCCCCCCACAACGTTCACTGAGAGTTCTCTTTATACACGTGGTTAAGCCTCTTCTTTTAAGAATGGAATGCATTTACGGTCCGTTTGATTCGTGGTCCAAATTCGAATCAAAATCTCTTGGAATCGAAATCAAAATCGTTCATTCCCTTGCTTGTTTGGTTCATATGGGAATCATAATCAGATTCCATAAAATAAACATGATTTGCAAACAGGATTAGTGTCGCATAAAGAGAAGTAGGGCTTGGAGGCTTTTAAGTCACTTGTTTTTTTTTTTTGACTGAATGGATTATGGATTCGATGGAATGAGATTCTCATTTCGATTATGATTCCAGACCCCTTTTGTCCGTGAACCAAACAGATCTTTAAAAAGAGAATATAATTTCCCTCTAAAATCTACTAAAAATATTTAAGACAACCAAGAAGTAAATCCAAAAATTTTGGCTTTGGAAGGGGGTGACTTTGGCAATCTTTTTATATGTATCTCCCTTTTCGGGAGTTTCTTATTGAGTTTTGACTCTGTTGGAGGTCAGTCCTCTTTTATTGGCGTTTCCATCTTTTTGCGCCATTTGCAGAGTTCTTACAAGAATTTCTCTTGATGTTCGGGATTTGTTTCTTTATCAGTAGTTTGGTTTGAGTTTATATTTTCAATTTTTGTCTACTATTACTGATTGTACTCTCATGGATTGTATTTGAGATTCTGAGCATTTTTAATGAAATTAGCCTTTRCCTTAAAAGAAAAAACAAAAACCAAAAATTTTTCGCTATGGCAAAYGTTTGAAGCACTGTTGTTCAATTCAGTACTCAGTAGCAGTTCGCCAGTTCTAAGAGTCCATGGCCACCACGGATGAACAGCTTAGTGTTTTGTCCTTTTCATGAATTATAAAAGCCCATGACTGCCATGCCACCTTGAAGGCATGAATGAGTGTACCGTTGCTCACAACAAGTTTGCCCTTGGGTACTACTGTCAAGTCTCAACCATACTAAATATGTATTCAATATATAAAAATTAAGGTTGCGTTTGGGTAAGTACTTCAGGATTTGTGCTTTTTAATATCCAGAAGCAAAATGTTCCAATTTAGACTTTGTGCTTGGGGTTCCATAGTGTTTTGACTTTGGATAATAATGTTTTTAAAAGAAATTATTAACAAATTGACGAAACACTTTGGCTCAATTTTGTTTACCACACCCTAAAGCTCAGAAGCAAAAGCAAATACCAACAGATTATTCAACATTTGAAGGAAGAGAAACAAAAAACATAGGGCTGCAATATGATCTGGGTCAGGGCTTCCATAACTCTACCTGTTCTAGACCAAAGTAAACCATTCTTGTTGCTTGAGTCCCAACTCCCATCCCAAAGGCTAATGGGCATGGGCCTGGCTGTGGCGTAGGTTTAGAACCCAAAAGTGGGTCTGGTATGGGCTTGTGTAGACTTTGATATTTTCTCTCTTATACAAAATGTTTCGTTACTTGGGGTCTGTTTGTTTCGCAGACAAGATTAGAATTGGAATCCCTAGGAATCAGAATAATCGTCACCTATTCTTGATGCCTCTTTGGTTCAATTTCAATCAAGAACCATAATTAGATTACAATTGTTGTTGTTTGGTTTATTTGGAGTTGGAATCGAAATCAACAAAAAAAATTTTAATTTTGTATTAGTCTATTTATTATTTTATTATTACTTTATTAATATTTTATGAATATATAATTATTATTTAATAAATAGTATCTTATTATTTTGTCAATTTATGAATATGTTATTAATATATTATTATTATGTTATATTGACTTTAATATAACTTTATTATTATATTTTATTAATAATTTATTATTCTATTATATGTTGTTACTATTATGCTTTATTAGTTTATTAATATTCTATTACTTTTGTCTATTATATTAAAATTAATTTTTTATTATAGTACTATTACTTTATTAATATTTTACTAATATTTCATTATTATTTTAATTGTTAATATATCMTTGTTTTATTATTATTGTTATCTTATTATTACTTTCATAATATTTTATTATTTAATTATTAATTTTTTATTGTTATTTTGTGAATTGTTTATTAATATTGTTTTACTATTATTATTATTTTATTAATTTAATTATATTATATTAATATTTTATTTATTCTATATTATTATTATATTTAATAATTAATACCTTTGTTTTATTATTATTTTATTAATATTAGGATTTGGGGTGTTTTGTCATGAGTTCTTTAGTTCTTGACAAACTTGGAATGGGAATCCCATTCCTCCAAAATGGGAATTAGAATCCCATTCCTACCAAACAAACAGTTGAAATCGGAATAAATCGTTCCTACCCAATCGGGATGGACCCTTAATTTTCTTTTATTTTACTTAAGAATCTCTCAAGAACTGTTCTCTCATCCATATTGAGCTTCCCCCTAACGCTTATCAAACTTCAGGAAGGAAGGCCTCCACTAGTAATAACTAATAAGCAACTCAGCAATTAATGGGCTCGGATTTCTCGAGCTGGTTCTTAAGTGGCCCAGGCTCTCTCCAAAGTCCAAACCAGTCCTTTATGGCCCATTAAGCATCGATAACTTCAATTGGGTACAAGCTTTGCTTTCTCTTTTAGTAATCATGTAATCAATAGAGGTATAGTATAATAATCAAGCAATCAACCCAACATGCCATTCATCTAATTCAACATTAAACACCTCACAGCCTATTTAATGACTTATTAACTAAATAAAACTATGCAATAAGTCATTCAGTTCAGTCTTTACCAAAAAAAAGTCATTCAGTTCAGCCACTTCAATTGTTGAGTCTGAACCCATTTCACGGCCCCGTTAGACCAAGCACACAAATACACGAGTCCATATCCTAATTCCAAATCCAAATCGGCTCAAATACGTTGGGTTGAATTCTTCTCAAGAGTCAAGATCCACTGGTCAAACCATTCCATTCCAAGACGGTTCATATTCGGTTAATACCCGACCCGCTCAAAACACACCCACCCATGACCCAACCGTTTCAACGCGTAAATGGCTTGGGATTCCCCTCATTTCTTTTCAAAACCCTAAGTCATAACTAGGTTGTAATTGTAAACCAATCCAAAGAAGGAAAGGGGAACCCCAGATTCAATGCAGATTGAAATTGGAGTCAGATCAGAACTCCACAAAAACTATAAATCACCCTCCACATAAAGCAGTCTCTGGTAGACTCGTGTAGTCTCTCTCTCTCCCGCACTGAGGTGAGAAACTGAGAATCTGAACTAGTTTGCCTCCAGAGGCCTTCTCGAGTCTATTGTCTCAACTCTCAACCCGCCCGAATCGGCGAATCCATAACCAAAGTCTAAAGGTTTTGTCGTTTGCTTATAGAGAGAGACTGTGAGAAAGAAGTTATAATAATGAGCAGTGCAGTGCCTTCGTCGTCTTTGCCTTTTCCTTCTCAGAGCGTCGTTTTGGGTCCTACAGAGATCTTCTCAAATACCCAAGATTCTGCCATTAATCCCCATCCTCATCCCCATCATACCTGCACCAATAATAATCCCTGGAAGAGGGTGTTTGAGCCTCCTCGCAGCTCTCAAACTGCATTCGTTATGAATACTTCCTCTTGGCCCGCTCTCTCTCGTTCTTCTTCCCCGAAAGCTCCTCCTGAGGTACGTCTACGCATGCCTTTTTTTCATTCTTTGTCCGTTTCGCTGTTTCTATTTTTAGGGTTTTTGGATTTTCTGTTCGTTGATGAAATTCTCGATATTTATGGGATTTTTTATTTGTTTTTTTAATGGGTTTAGGTTCAATTGCCGGAATCGTCTTCGAAAGAGATGATCGCTGAATCCAAGGGTATCAATGGTGGGCTCGTCTCTGCCGATATCGCTTCTGCGACGGTTTCCTCGAGCGACAATGAGTCTTCCTCTAGTGCGAATTTGAAGCTTTCCGTTTCAGTGTCTGGCGATGGTTGTGGCTCTGGTTCAGAGAAGCAGAAGGTTACTCCATCGCCGTCGTCGACTAAGTCGATGTATTCTAGGCCAGGTCCGGCTAACTCGTCAAGGCCCTTTAACCATCACAACAATCAGCATCATCACCATTCTTCTCGAATGGGGTCTAATCAGAGGGGAAATGGATTCAATACGAGGGGAGGGAACAGAGGCGGAGATGGGTTTCATCATAATCAGAACTATTCAAATAGGCGTCACCAGCCGCGTGGCTTCAGTGATTGGAATTCCAATAGAGGGTTCAGTCCCAGGGCGGTGAACCCGCAGCACCCTCCTCACGGATTTGTCAATGGTCCCGCAGGGTTTYTAGGGCCACCGCCACCACCACCGCCACCGCTTCAGCATTCTTACCCGCCGACTGCAATTGTCAATCCTCCTTATGTCAATGTTCCTCCTCCGCCTCCCCCTCCGGTTCCGGCCTACATGCCTCCATATGGGTATTACGGTAATGGGTACTTTCCAGGTGAATCAATAAGCCTCTTCTGTTTGACTGGTTTAAATCATTTATTTGATTGATCGGCCACTAACTCTTCAGATTGCAGATGCATCTGGTCCAGTCTATGGTCCTCCGATGCCACCACCAGCACCTTTTATGGAAGCTGTCAATGGACCACCACTATATCCTCAGCCTTCCCCACCGTATAATCTGCCTAACCCAGAAGTTGAACTATGCAATAGAATACAGAAGCAAATTGAATATTACTTCAGGTGATTTTGAGAATCATGAGCGGTTTCTTCTCTGGATTTTAGTCTAGTTTCTTTACTTATCTGTTATTGTCAATTGTTGCAATATACAGTGCAGAGAATTTAGTGAATGATTTCTATCTGAGGGGCGAGATGAATAATGAAGGCTGGGTTCCTATTAGTCTTATTGCAGGCTTCAGAAGGGTGAGTAGTCTGTGCTTTATTTTATTGTGTTTTACTAGAAATTATTTGTATGTGATATCTGCTTATTATATTGCTGATACTTATTTTGGACCTCACCAATTGCCAAGATGGTCCAGAAATTTATTTATATACTAGTTTTTCTTTGCCATGTTAGTTTCGTTGTAATGATACTTATTTTGCCATGTTAGTCTTCATAGGTGTCATGCTTGCCAAACCACTAAACCAGGTAATGTGTAATATTTAATGTTATTATAATTCAAAATTTGAATTTACCATGATTATCTTTCAGAAATAGAAGGTGTACCATATTTGTCAAAAATAGAATGTGCCAAAATTAGCAACCTTTTATAATATCTTTTCCTTTGGTTAGCTATTTAATGTGGTTTAATGTTTACCTAATCCCAACATTCATTATATCACCTAAAAGCACTCATTTAATAGATGTAGTATTTAGTTAGAATGGGCAATATGCCTTATAAATTACATTTCCCTGATCAATGTCATTTTTCAAAAAGGAACCTTGGATTAGCAACATTTTTCTCGTGCTAATGATCTTCTATATTTAAATTCCTTAAATTACTTAAGAGGAGGTATGCAATGGGAGTCCGGATCACTTGCCAACAAAATGCATTCTAACACCCTCCCAACATGATTGACACCACACATCTCATACATGGTGGGTCCCAATCTCATGTTGAGATGTGTGATGCCATACAATGTTGGAAGGGTGTTGGAAGTGTTTTGTTGGCAAGAGATCCCAATTCATGTACTTGTAATGATACCTGGATACCTGTAATATTGTTTGTCAAATATTAAAATTTTTAATACAACTTGTGGTCCAACTATATCCAATCGTATCCTTGTCATATCCAAGTAACATAGATGGTATGAAAAAATGTTTGTAAAACAAATGTTAGATGAGTCAATTTCTGTTTTTACTTGCACCATTGAGCCTTTGCATGTACTAGAAAAATTAATTTTAGGAAAACTGTTTGTGGGATTAATGTCTAGTTGTATGCACTTCTATTGTTTGTAATGATAAATGTCCCATTATCATGTTCTTTTTTTTTTTTCTAGGCTATTCTATTTCTATATTTTCTGTTGCTGATATATATTCTTTTCATTTTGTGTGTCAGGTAAAAGCAATGACAAGCGATGTTAGTATGATAATGAAATCATTGAAAATATCATCTATTGTGGAAGTAAAAGTATGCCCTATTAGCCATTTTTGTTTTTTATGATTATTATCCATATTTATTGTTTACGGAAATATAGTTTTGCTCATGATCATATTTGACATTTAGGATAACAAGGTCCGTAAACGTGGAGACTGGATGAATTGGATTCTGTCACGCCGTTCAATGAGTGCAACACAAACATGTTCTGTTGAAGACATGCTGGGTGCTATTAAGGATTTGCAGCTGACGGAGAAACCTGAAGCAGAATCTCAAGAAGTTGCGTCAAAGATTGGAAAGTGATCTAATACTTCTAACTAGCTGGTCAAAGAACTCTCATGCTCATCTACCAATAGAGGTTAGTGAACAAGAAGTCCCATTTATAGAAAGAGTAGAGAGCAAAGGAAAAATAATAGGGAGAAGCTAACTAGAGAAGGAAATTAAAAGGAACTAGGAATTGATTGCCGAAAGAAGGAAAGAAGAGACCCTTTGGTGGTGCTTTTTGAAGCAAAATTTCATGCTCGACTCAATTATATGTTGATTGATTCTTTATGTGCAAAAGGGAGCACATATTGATGGTGGAGGTTCCAAGTAAAAGCCTCTTGCTGTCATCTATTAACCCAAGGAAAGAATAGATTAACTTGATGGTGTTCATATGTGTATAGGGGTTTTTATCATCTTCTTTTTTCAACTCCTCTGTGGATATGCCTGTCTTATTTTACAGACATGGGGGCCAATTTTGAGAATTATATGGTCATTTGAGGAGTCTAATTAAAGATTCTTTGACTAGGAATACTAATTGTAGGGTTGTCTGAGTCTGTCCATGTTCTACCAGAACAAAAAAGAAAAAACAAAAAAAAAAAAGAAGTGTCTGTCCATGTAAAAAGTCTTTTTGTCCTTAACAATATTCGTTCCTTTAATACTATTTTGTAAGTCCATAAATGTGGGTTTTGTTGGATGTTTTTATATTTCTGCATGTTTCATTATGTGTTAGAATGTTAAATTTCGCGACCTTTGTTCTTAGAAACATTTGAATTGGAAAACTAGTAGGTAGTGGACAAACTTACCTCGTTTTGTTCTACCTGTCTGAAAAGGAAATTGTAAATTACAAATTCCCACCCTGTGCTTTAAGGATAGTGGCACTTAGACGCCCTAAGCTTTCATTTGTGACAAAGACACACTCCGAACTTTCACATATCCAGTATTTCAACCACAGCCTGTTAACGGGGTTGACTGTAAAGATTAAATTAGAAAAATGTCTATTTGAAGTTCTTTATTCTTTTGTATTTTTCTGGTTCTTTCCTCTTTTCCTGTGTTCGCAATTTTCTGTATTTTTGTTGTATTTCTTTAAATTTTTATTTTTTTGTAAATTTCAGTGTTTTCTGTAATTTTCTCTTTCTCTTCATATTTTGTTATGTTTCCTGTATCTTCTGTAATTTCCTATTTTTATTGTATTTTATTAATTTTATACAAATAATCAGCTAAATTGATGCAAGGACAATTTAGGGTTTAGAAATGTTTAAACATATACGTGACGACCACATGAGGATATTTTCTTTGATCTTTTCTTCGTGGCATCAAAGTGCCTGAATCCAAAAGTTCAGGGCGTATCTTTGTTGTAAATAAAACTTAGGGAGTTAATTATCATAAATTTTCCCAAAAAGACTACATTTAATCTTTGTTTATACATGTCCACGCTGAAACATCATTTCCCATAATGAATGGTTGATTGTGAATTTCAATCAAAAAGAGAGAATAGCTTATTAGGACAAAAAATCAGCCTAATGAGGTTGGGAATGTTGTTATCTTTATCTAGTTGACGGATGAATTRTTTTAATATGGCATGAGATAAGGTTTCGGATTCTCGTGAAATCACTCTCTCCCTTTTATGTTGCCTTTCTAGATATGGACATGGAACCTTTCTTTAACGTTATTAGACTTTTTTTTTTTTTATACTTTGAAACAAAAATCTGATACTCCTTGAGCATTCAGCGTTATGAAGTTTCTAAGGGCCGGTTTGGGAGGAGGGCTGAGCAGAAAATTCAGCTAAGGCAGTTCAATTTACTTTGAAAATTTGGAGTGTTCCAAGTTGTTCAAAGAGAGTGAAGCTTCAATTGACCAAGAACCAATTTTGGGCTCACTGGATTTTTCACCAAACATGACATATAAGTAGACTTGGGGTATCATTTTTTGACGTGCTTGGCCCACAACTTATTTATGTATTATGTTTATACTTTATACACAGGGTTTGACCATCATGCTGGAAGGATGTGAAATGTAACCAATGAAGTGGTATCATAAAAAAATCAGGGGGGGGGGTTAATTTATCAAATTTTCATAAAAGCTCTTTCTAGCATCATAGATGGAATGAATTCATATTTGAACACATCCCTTTATTCCTAAATGCATTATTGTCAAATCGCATGCTTTCATGGAATTCATTCTCAACTCAACAGTAGTAGGGCCACACATGTACAGAGCAGAGAAGGTGCTTCAACGTCCCACAGAGCATAGTCCATTTCTGTTTGCTGGGAGTCCGGATCAGCTGGCCACATTCCCGAGATCCGGGCTCATTTGCTCGTGCCGTCCCATTTTCCGGCTGGGTCAACAGAGATTGTTGAGGGAATCCGTTTTGCTTTGGTACAGTGGGGCTGTGGGGGTGTTTGATGCAGTGCCCAGTTTTGCACACCACTGCAAAAGCTGCCCTAGCTCATTCTAGACCTTGTACTTGGTCTGCTATTCCTGATTTTCTACTTCTACTATTCAAAAGAAGTTATAATTACCGAGTTTGTTGAATGAATTTGGCTCCTGGCCTTAAAGAAAAAGGTTGGGTTGAGGTCAATTCTAGGAGCATAATTTTGGCTCATTCTTGTCACACTGAAAATTGGGCAAGAATGAGTCAAGATAATGTTTGGGATAGAAAATTGCTGTATTTCCATCTAGGAATAGGCCAAGAGTTTGTTTGCTTCGTAGAAGAAACACAAGGGCATGGGATTTATATTTTTGAGATTCCTATTGTTGGAAAATAGTAAAGAAAGTAGAATGAAACTTATTGGTAATCATTTTTCAAACCGAAAACTTGTAAAAGTATAGTGTTACTGAACTGCGAATTTGAGAATTTGTAGAGAGGAGGGTTGAATCGTGCCACTTGGTCACTGTTTTTAAAATTGCATTTGCCCCCTACGGTGTAGCTAGGTGATTGCAAATCGGTCGTCAAGATAAAACAGTCCACAGGTCACTGGTAGGTGTGCACTTGCTTACCAAGCCTCCATGAACAATAGAAAATGATGCTTAGATTGACAGATCYGGTTATAAAGTTTTCTGAGTCACCCGAATGGACACAATAGTGTCCAAACAAATGTCTCTTTAGACTGATCCGGTGTAGCTCGCACGTGTGAAAGAACTCTTAACCCCCCTTCACATGCATGGGAATATCTATAATACTTTCCTTTTATGGGTTCCTATCCATTGAAAAAGTAAAACTATAGATATACTCCACCTCTACTCATTTCCCAAACAATGTGGGACAAGGGGTTTTTCCATGCATTCAAGACAGAAGAGGAAAAGACAAAACTCAAAATACAAGGGAGGGATGAGAGATTCTTGAAATTTTGAATCTCCCTCCAACACTATGCTAATAAAAACAAAGCATAAACATCAGATTTCCATTTTCCTTGCAACTATCAATGGTTACATTCCCGAGGAGCATGAAAAATGTTCAGAAGTGTTTTGGAGTTTGGATGTATGAGCCTCTAGTCCAGGGTGTCTCTCTCTCTCTCTCTCTCATATTATTTCTTCTGTTTTCTAATGTGCTAATGCACAAGCTGAAGCAGTAAATAACATGGTGTTAAAGATCTTATCAACAATTTCTKTTGTCTAAAATTAATAATTTTCATTTCCTCCTTGTTCTAATATAAAAAAGATATCAATTGAATAAATGGATCCCTGAATTTGAAGAAATTAATCGTAGTTTTGAAGAAATACTAAGTGCCTGCTTGGGCGGGTTGAAGTTGAACTGAACGTTCAGCTAAGCTGATTCAATCATTTAACTTCTTTGTGGCACTCTGGATAAGCTATCTAAAGACGCTGATGGGCGATGGTCTGAAATGGATAGACTAGAAATCTCCCTCAGTGGAGGATTGCAGGTGTTTAATCCCGTCCTTTGCTCAGTGCTCCTTACACACCAATAGATTTTCAAACGAAGTATCACATAGCTTAGCGCCGTTTGCTTGCACAATTCAGAGCATCTACACTTGGTCTTCTGAATCAGCCTGATTTTGTACATGGGTCTTTTGTAAAAGACCTCCCAACTTAATAGATGCTTTGTTTTACTTTAATAAAACAAAAGGATAGCCTAGAAAGAGTGTCAGTCTCTAGATTTTTCATCAAATAATCTGAAGGGTGTCCATATAGGGTTCATCTTGCAAATCCAAAAGCCGCGCTCTGAAGATCACCTTGAAGCCAAATACGAGATCAGCCCAGACAAATACAGATTAGGTGAAGAAGGATGACAGCTTCCCAAGCCTTTTGCAAGTTAGATTATCAWGGGAAGGGTCGTATTCAACAAGAAAAAAAAATCAGATTCTTAGGGGGTATTCTTCAAAGTGAATTGTTTTTMTTGTTGTCGTTTTCAAAAACAAATCAAGATCATCTTATTTGAAAACAGATTGTTTCTTAAAACGAAAACATAAAAAACATGTTTTTGGTTGTGGGTTGAAGTGGCAATTGGACGGGTTTGGTTTGTGTTGAGTTTCAACCCAACCCATCTAACCTGCCAACCATGGTTCAAAGTATCGATACGATACGCCCCATATCGGGCGTATCGTATCGTATCTTTTGAAAAAGATACGGTCCGAAAAGATAGGCGTTTTGGACCCCCAATTTTTTTTAATAATAAAAAGCATGCTAATAAAGCTTCCCAAAAAACCAAAATTTGAAAAAAAAAATTAAAACAAAAAAAGAGTTTCGGCCATTTCTAAGTACCGATACGATACAACTGAAACTCGTATCATATCAATACTTTTAACCTTGCCGCCAACCCATTAATGACCCAATTAGATAGAATTGAATGGGTTGGGTTCAGAACCCAACCCAACCCATTTAGATAAAATAATGAAAATTACACAAAAATAATAGAAACTACAAGAAATAAAGTAGAAATTAAACAAAAAACACAAAAATGCATAAAATTAATAGAAATTACATAAAATTTTGAAAAATCAGAGAATTACAAAAAAAAACTGAAATTGCATAATTATGTAATAAAATTATAGAAAAACATAGAAAATGAAGAAAAATAACAGAAAATACAAAAAACAAAGAAAACTAGAAATTGCAGAAAAGAAGAACAGAAATTCGAGAATGATATAAAGAATCATAGAAAAACATAGAGAGTGAAGAAATATAATAGAAATTATAGACAATATAAATAGCTATTTGAAAAATTATAAAAATTTGTAGAAAAACCACCGTTAGGCAAAATGCCTCTCATCATATATAAGGATACTTGTCATTTAGATATCTAGCAAATAATCACAGTAGCCCCATTGCGCACACACCTTAATACTATTAACCTCCGATTTTAGAGTTGTAGAGGAGAAGACTTCCCACCCGTAGAGGAATGTTTTGGCCAATGTTTGAATAAAATGCATTAGGGTAAAATACTTATACCTCCCCTAACGTTTTTGATAAATACTTTCAAATCTCCCTTGACCTTTAAATATTGCAAAAACCTCCCCTAACCTTTAGTGTAAAATATGCTTATTGATCCCTTCCATTAATTGCAAGTTAGAAACTTAACAAAAATATGAATCTATTGCTCTAATTATTTTTAAAATACTCAAATTACTCATGAATCATGCCTTTTGCTTTTTTGACCMAAATACCCTTATATTGGTTTAGGATAGTTTTCTTTGTTGTTTGCACGTAGGGTATTTTGCATAATCTTTGAGAAGAGTGAGTTGGGCGAAACT